ACATAGATTATTAGTAAAATTGTCAACCATTAAACTAATTGATTTGTATATGTATTACTTCAGCCCAACAACAAAAGCACCTCTTGAAAATAGAAATAAGGAAAGTGTCACATATTTTCTAAATTATGATTACAAAAATCACAATAGTTCAAGCCACGCTTTCTCGTCTGTTCCAGACCTTTAAATGTTTATCAGATTATGAAGTTCGCTCTTCAGAATAAGCGTGTATTTATATTTTTAGTTTGGATTATTAGGTCAAGTATCGGTTTACAGCAAAGCCAAAAATGAACTTTCTTATTTAACTGTTTGGGCAAAAACAGATATAAGTGCTAAAAATGCAAAGTGTTTATGAAATATTAACAGCCACTGAGCTGCATGTCAATAAATACAACTCATTGACCACAGAGCAAACTTCTTCCATGCATGAAGACAGCCTGAAAGACTTCAAAGCTAGAAAACGAGCACAAGGTAAGGAGACCATAACTTTCTCTCTTCATAACCAGCATTATCATCCATATGCAATCAATATAGTGGTTATAGGCCATATTTAATACACTTACTGTACAGAAAAAGGAGTTGTTTAAACTTAAAAAGTTAGAGTCTTGGCTGCCTCATCATTTTAAGGTGACTGAATTTGAGATGATGCATTGAGATAAATTTGTATTCAAAATGAAAAAAAAACCATTCACGGTCAGATGTATTTGTTCTTTTGTACTTCACTATTATTTACAGTTTAGTTGTTTCGTCAACATTGTATTAACTTTTAATTCATAGATGCAAATATTACTACAATTTTAATTTACTTCATCTTTGTACGAGAGCTTTTAAAAAGCTTTGTTCCCTATGCTATGAACATTTCAAACCTGGGAGGATATGATGGTGATTTTCATCGGGCAGGTAAAGTTGTTGATATCTTGAAGGCATGACACATGAGGGCCGAATAATTTTTAGTCACATTTAGTCAGTAAGGCTTTTTTGACTGACATAGAGGTGATTTGAGGGACAGACACAAAACAAAGCATTCAGGTTGTGAGTAATAGTTCACAATTTGACTGACAGAGAAACAATATCCCCTATGCCTGATTGTATATTTTTTTAAATGCAGAAAATGTTATAATTATTCCTAGATTGACCCCCTTGACCCCACCCTAACTCAGCCCCCCCCCCGAATTTTGGTTTGCATGACGGCCCTGACATGACTAATAGTTTTACAGTTTAAATTGCTTTAGAACAAAAAATAATTGAGTGGCATATCTTTAGAGGCTTTCTTTTGGATTTGTAGTAATCAAACACTCCCCAGACTGTATGAAGACTTTCTGCATGGCCATATTTTCAACTTGTAAGAGGGCATATGACCGGCTAAGATTCTTAAGTGACCAGCAAAACAAGAATGGATAAGCTTTCGTAATCCAGTCACAGTTTTAAATCAGAGGACTGTTACTTGTGGACTGAAATATCTTCTGTAATTGTGTCACAAGTTTAAAATTCCTGTGTCTTTAACACCTTTATTACAACATTTTTTCCAAACGTCATGTGTTGATAAATGAAGCAGCTGTGGACAAACTAATTGCTTCAAAGTGATGGTGTGTAATCTTTTGTCCTGAAGCCCATCTATCTTAGCACAGACGTGGTGGAGGGAGATGAGGCTGTGACGACTACTGAATGGAGTGACTTGCGGGAAGACGATTCCAGCAACTTCTCCACAGCTCCAATTTGGACGCCTTTCATTGACCGCGGACGGGGAGGGGTGGGGATGGTCTGAAAGGGTGGAGGTGGTGGGGGTTGTGCAGTATTGTGAGTTGAACAGCATAGCCCCCCTCTAGTTGAATGGGTATTGTCATCTGGATTTCTATGGCCAACCAAAATACTTTCTCCCGCCGTGGGGGTTTATGGATACATGGTGGGAACGGCATGCATTACGCACAGCCGTGTAGGGCATTCCTGACCAACACAACACTTTAACTAAAGATTTCAGACAATATACTCAGTTTAATCTTAATAAAATGAAACAATATTGCATCTTCATACACGAATAATGAATCATTACATAGACAAAAAAAAAAAAAACAGAGGAAAAAACGTTTATTCCTAAAATGTTTTGAAAAGAAAAAGAATTCCTGCAGTGTCGATGATGCAAAAACGTCGCAGGTGTTCAGTGCAGCCGAAAAAACATACGGTAACTTTTCACGTTGGGACCTTTAGATCCAGTATCAGAGACCCTACAGGTCCAAAATTTAACTGATCTCAAGCAACACAAAAGCCAGTCCGAGATTTACAAGGGCTTTGTCTACACTTTTCTTCTTCTTCGTTCTTTGTCGCTCTTGGACATTGTTGGAGTCCTCAACATCTCGCAACTGAAGGAATTGGTTCTTTGTGGGAGTGCAATCATTCTCAGTTACTGTACAAGTATGTGCTGACGATGCACATCAAGGTAAAAAAAGAAGTGTAAATATTCAATGGCAAAAGTTCCTCTAGAAAATAAAATCTTTGCAGTTACAACAGTACACAACTCAAAATGCTAATGATAATTTCAGATCACAAAAGCAGTACCTATAAGATACTCCTTTTGCCTTGAGCTACCTCTCGTGGTTGACAGTCTTATTTTTTTAATCTCTTGAAGATCCACACAAAAAAAAAAAGTTGTGGTCCGAGTGTGTTAAGGAAGAGCCAGTGTAAAAACAGCAGAGGTGTTTTCAATGATTTTCACGATCTATAGAACAAAAACAGCAGGTGCAAAAGATAACGTTCGTCAAAAACAGTTTTTTCAAAAGATCCTAAGTCACTTTTACGCACCTCCTGATGTAAGCCAAACGGCTACACATAATTCCTTTTATCATAGTCCCCGTTCTGCGTTGCCCTCTTGGTTGGTGCGTACTTTACAGAGTATCCAGAGTTCCCACTGGAGGGACAGGAGCAGCACAGCAGCGATCCACCGATCAGCAGCAGCGCTGAGGCTGCCCAGCCGATGTAGAGCGCGGCGCCGATCTCCCTCTTCTTGGATGAAGGCACCTGCGGGTTGTAGAAGTCCGAAATGATGTTGTTGGCCATCCAGCAGATCGGCACTAGCACAAACAGACCGCTGGTTATGTAGATGACACCTCCGGCGTTCACCACCCGGGCTTTGACGTACTCGGCGCGGATGCAGTTGGTACACTGCGCACCCGCGATGACAACCATGAGCCCCAGCACGCCCATCACAGCGGAGATAATGGTGAGCGCTCTGGCCGCCTGCAGGTCGTGGGTGAGGGCGAGGATAGAGTCGTGCACCTTGCACTGCATCTGCCCCGTGCTCTGCACTACACACGACATCCATAAGCCGTCCCAGATATATTGAGCCACTACGATGTTGGCTTCGATAAAAGCCGTCACCTTCCACATGGGCAGCCCGCATGAAACCATCACTAGGAGCGAGCCAATTACGCACAGAGCAAGTCCCAGGATTTCCAGTCCGGCCGACACCATTTTCGCTCTTTATGTTCTATCAAGTCCGCCTGAAGCTTTTCAAACTTTTCCCTATTTTCTATTCTTGAGAGCAAGGTGTATTTTGGCTCTTCTTCTCTCCTCGCTGTATGGACCGTTGATCGTTTGTTGCGCGTCACCTACCACATTAACTCTAAGATGAAAGAGACAGTAGCTCTGACTCTCTTTGTTAGTGTGGACGATGTGAAAACAACTGGAATCACAGTAGCACTGGACCACGAATATCTGCAGGGTGGGGGGTGCGAGGGGCTCGGGAAGAAACTTTCCTCCAATCGGCTTCGACCGCATCCACGCAGGACCAATGGAAATGCAGGGAAGTTGTGAGGCTGAATAAAGCGGTCCAGAGCGCATTGTGCGTTTGAACAGTTATTTACAAAGGATGGAGAGTGCAGGAGAGGGGGCACGGGCGCACAGGGGGTGAGTTAAGGGTACGTAGCAGCTCAAAGTAGTGGTTGGATGAATCAAGGCCCTTGTTATTGATTTTCAGACAGGAGGCTGTCTCCATGTCTGTGGAAGCAGCATACGCATAGTGCAGCCATAATTTCAGAATCTATCTAAATTGAGCTAATCCCAGAAGTGGAGACAGAAAATTCAAGAAAATATCATATTCATTCGAATGAATGAAAATGAGGGAGTGAAATCAATAAAAAATAAAAATGTTTATAAAATTCTACACAACGCATAGACTACCACTGTACATTAAATACAATAAACAATTTTGAATTAAATTTACCTTATGTCATCCTTGATACAGTTGAAACTCCTCCTCTGGTAAACAGCCTACGTTGGTTGGCTACTAATTCCATAATGGAAATTATTTTAAGATGATTATTTTTTTGTTTATTTCAGTTTCAGAAGGCTACAAGTGATCTACATGAAAATATTTTGAATGTGTTTTTTTTTTTTATGTTTATCATTTTCTGGTGGTAACTGAGTAAGCAGAGAATAATATGACTTATTGACCCTTATTGCAAACAATAGGCCTACATTTGTTCAAATTTAAACTAGAAATATCCTATCAATTGTTGTTTATTGTGCTTTAGCCTATGCCATTATATACCAAATTTAGGCTAGAACCAAAACTTGTCAACACATATTATGTAAGAACTTGCTTCTTTTAATTTGCCTATTTTTTATAGAACATTTATTTTTGTGGAACATTAAGTAGCCGAATAATGCTTAATTTCCATCGAATTAAAGATGATACCACATACATATTAATATGGTTTGATTAATATTGTATTTGGCTATCAAATCTAAGTCCACAGTTTATGAACTCATTATTCTTTAAACCCATTACAGCTTGGCCTTTCACATTACATCAGGCCTACATCATTCTAACAGTATGCAACTTTTCCCTCTTAAGTTACGAGCCGACAAGCACGGAGACTGTAACTCTTAGAGCAGCCATTTTGGATCTAACACGGTAGGACGTCTCTTGGGTCAGCCGTCGCGTTGTTGAGCCGTAATGGCATCAGTTGCGCAGCAGGAAAGCCGTTTGTAATGAAACGGGACGAGGGCGGACTTCGAGGGACGGTTTCCGGGTTTCCCTTCCTGGGCTGGGACAGCGGCAAAGAGGAAGAGAGCTTCTGCTGATTTACAATATTTCAAAGTTTACAATCAGGTAAGGTACCTCACTGTGTTTTGTTGTTGTTTGTTGTTGTGTTCAAAGTACTTGAGTGGGGCGGATCAGGTTGAAGGAGACACCAGTAGAACCAGTGGTTAAAACTAACTGGCAACATGACACCAGTCGCGGTAACAACTGTTGCTGGATAAGTTTGACATGTAGCCTAATTTTAACGTAGACAAAGTTTCAGTGCCTTTATAAGTCTTGAATTCGGTTTATCATAATAGTTTTTCAAAAATAAAGTTAAAGGAGTTACGACATTAAGCGAAGCTGTGTACATAAAGTGAACATTGAAACGCTATTTGATGTTTTGTTAAAGTCTTGACAGGGTGTGGTGGACACCTCACTGTAACACTCACAGGCCTACATGTTTCAAAATCCCCGGGCAAGTGACTGAAGCATTGTTCTAGTATTGTCTTTTAAAAAGTTTTAAACAGTTTCCAATGTACAAAAAAAAAAAAATCTTCGTGTTAAGATAGTTTTAACATATTAAGAGCATACAGGATTACCACCAAGTGCTCCGGGACACATTGAGGGTCCATTGTCCTTGTTCTGCTTGTTAAGTTAGGGATCTTTACACTTCAGTTCATGTAAATATTCATAAATCAGCCCCATATAAAATTCCACAAATTTCTCATAATCCATTCCCTTGTAAGATTCCTAGACGGTGAAATAGCTTTCTAACATCCGATTAATCCTCGACCTTTTGATTGTAAAGCATATTTGGACGAAAATAAATTCTCTGTTTAGACAACTTTACAATAACAGTGGGAAAGAATAACATTTTCTCATTATGTGTCCAATCGTAGATGTGGCCTGTTGCCACTATTGAAAAATTATCACCCATCTTTGCTTGATGTTTTGGCTCAGGGAAAACATGCATGTTTCACACAGGCTGAATGAACTGTAATCTTCACCCAGCAGCTGCTCTATGTTTCAGAAACAACATAGATTTATACCAAGATGGCCATCAGAGGAGCAACACGTCTTTGTTCTGAAAGACGTGTTAGGCCTGTGATCTTGCACCTTCACCGCTCCCTGACCTTTCCCCTTCCTTTGACCTAGTCTCATAAACACTGGCCGGCACAGAAGCACTAGGGAAGACATCTGTCTGACACTTTAAACTACAAGGGGATGTTTCCTATCGTTTTGCACTTTGGTGTGAACGGAAATACAAAACTTGATTCACAAAGACAGACCAAAGTGGAAATGAACTATGTTGTCAGAAGTCTCATTGATAATATCACACAGCAGGATACCTTTGTCCACTAGTCTGTGTTTAAAACACAGGTGTAGACATTACAGATCAATTTCATCCTTATGTCGACCAGATTAACTGTGGTGACAGAAAACAACTATTCTATTTCACATTTCACATTTGATAAATATTTTTCCATTGTATGTCTGTGTCGGTTCTCAGTCACCCAGGTCCAGGTCAAAGGTCATGGTAAATTTGAAGCTTGATCCAAAGACAACTGGACTGATTAAAGATCTTCAAGCAGCCCAGTTGCCTTTGGATCAAGCTTCAAATTTCCATGCTGTTGTCACTGTAGTACACATTTTACAGTGAAGACGCTATAATCATCTTAACCTAAACGGCCACAAGTTACACCTTTTTTCACGGTCCAATTGTTCTTCAGTGTTCCTTTGAACCATTTATAGAACATTTCTGTTTAAGAATGTATTTTTCAAGCAAATACAGCAACAACGAAAAAAAAAAAAAATGATGCAAAACAATCCTGCCAATGTAATTCCTGATGTGAAGATATTAAAACCTGGAATATAAAAAATATATAGGCACATCTTTTGTCCCTGAAACTTATAGTTGCCCTCATATGTGAAATCTTATTAGAATAACTGAAGTCACTTGATATTGACATATTTGAGGAAAAAAGAAGATATTTTTTAGTTTACTAAGATATTATTCAGAGACATTCTAAAAAAAAAAAAAAAAAACAGGAAATAATGTAGTTTATGTGTGTTATGCTTTTTCTGTTTAATGCTCTTTTGATTGATTTTTTTTTCTTGTTAATAAAAGTGAAATAATGGACGTTGAATATCCAGTATTGGGATTTATAAAGTAAAGAAACACTTGTTAAATCATTTCTCATGTATTTATTTCTCATTCAATAACTAGATAAACTCACACTGATCCCATAACCTGAGACTATCATACATTACTAAAATGAATCTATCTTACAAAGAGCTGAACCCACAGATTTTAGTTTCACATTCAGTCATTATTTTAGAGTTTCATTAGTACACTGCAGCTGTCAAAGTAAGACAGTCTACTAAGGATATTTATCTTTTGCTGTATGACTCCCACTTGTTTTTAGTCATTTCCTTCCCTATCCCCATCATCATAAACGCTCCATCCTGTGCTTAAAACTCTGAGTGTGTGGTATAAACAAGCCTGCTGGTTTCCTCATGGTTAAAGGGCTTTATCATCCCGACTATTGTAGCTTTCTTTCCTCTCTTAGCTCATCTCATAAAGTGTACCCAAAACAACGGCCTAAAAACCATTATTATATCTTTATTACTGCCCACCACCGCTACCTTTGGTCCACAGGGGCTACTTAATTACAGTCGAGCCCAACCTGTTTCTATTTAGTTGTAATGTGTATTTAGAGCCAAACATCACTTTAATATGCTCAGAAACTCTGGGGTTCCTGTTGCTGTGATTAGTTGCCAGTAAATTACCATTTTTGTTGATGTGCCACTGAGTTCAGCAAATCTCCATGGTGTAAAATGATTGTTTCAATGTTTCCAATAAGAGCATTTAAGTCTTTAATCAAGGGAGAGGGGGTGTGAGGACCTTCGTCAATGCCTGTCAGGAAGGTGAATAGTTCTACAAGCTCTGCTTGCCTTTCATGGCATCAGGCCAGACAATAAATCAACTGTAAATGCACTACATGCCAACAACTTTGGCTTAACTAAGGTGGCATTTTTCCCTTTTGGCCCTAACTGTTTAATCTCCCCCATGTCTGGCCCGTTGATAGCTGTGTGTACGTGTGTGTAAGCAGCTCAGCGACCCAGCCGATTAGATGGCCATTATTAAGCGAGTCTTATTGAAGTGTGCCTCCTGCCTGTCTGTCCTGTAGTGTTGTCTTTGTGATATTACAACTACAATCTTGGAACACTTTAATTAATCTGCTGCTGGTTCCCACAGAGCCTGTCGGGGAATAACACTTGTGGCGTGTGAGGTGCACATGGAGACGCCTGTGTGGGCCACTACATTAATTACATTTGTGCATTATTAACAAAGAGCGGTCATTTTTATTGTCTTTATTTCCTTTTGATGGCTGAAAATATTTATACATCAACTATAGTGTATTTTCTTTACAGTTGCTATTGTTGTTTGGTCGGTTAGGCCTGGTTCTAGACTGCTTTGATTGGAGGGGGGCATGAAGTAATGTGGACTGGTCACATACAGCCAGACTTAAAGACCTCGTTAATGGGGTACTCTGTAAGTATTCTTTAGGACTGTAAGATATAACATTCACTGTTTATGTTTTCTGAATGTAAAGCTGTAGAATCTAATAATAAATAAGCCCATAATGTATTTCATTTTAAACCCACCACCCATCCCCTTCATAGGAGAACTTTATTTATATCTCTTCTTAAATGGACTGGTTAAAAACAAGCCATCTGTAATCCAGTATATTTTTTTCTAGTCTACTAATGTGGTTTGTATTGAAATGGAAAGCCACAATGTACTTAGTAATAAGAGTTTCACATTTTTCATACGGCACAGTGGATCCTGCCTCTGTTGGCTGCAGCCCCAGCATTGTCCTGATTGGTTTAGCCACCAGAAATCAGTGCATGGTGACAGAGAGAGAGAAAGAAAGAGAGAGAGAGGAATCAAAGCACTTTGAACAGCTAAAAACTTCATTGATTTTGAGAGACATTTGCGATGAGGGTGCAGTGTTAAACTGAAGTTAGCAAACACTAACACAAACGCACTTAACTCAGCTGTCCGAGATCTGAGTTCAGAGGTAAATGGATCAAACCATCTCAATCAAAACAATAACAAATATGATATTGAGGCTGGCTGCGAGACATGGGGGGGATTCTCTCTCTTCTCCCCCGATGAATGAATAAGGTTAACATTATTATTATTAATTAATTAATAATTATTAATTATTAAGAACACTGTCCTTTCCTAAGGATTCCAAAAATCTTGTTTTGAATAAAAATGTTCCAAGCCCATAGAATTCATTGTTACATCACATAGATATAAATGTCACTCATGAGAAGCTAAAACTTGAACATTTTTGGTGTTTGCCTTTAGATATGACTTAAATGGACTTGAGTTTAAGGTGTATAATTGTTCGTCAAACATTGACAAAGTCAAATTTTGTTCCATACCTTTCTAACACTATTTTGTATGTTCCCACTTCCCACTGTGTTCTCCTCCATCGATCTTCAATCTCTAGACAAGACTTCATATGTTGTCTGTTGCTTTGACTCAGTTTTACCTTTTAGGTTTACCTTTTGACCACTGCTATACCCCTCACCTGGCTTTCTTCAACCCAATAAATTTGGTGTGTCCCCCCTTTGCTGTCCTGGCCTGTGGTGGGTCCTGAATGTGGTCAGGGGGGAGGCACGTGTTCTCCCTCCTGCCTCAGCTGAGCTTCCCTGTATAGGAAAAGCTTCAGGAACCAGAGGGATAAACAGCCATTGTTCTCCTGGTGGGCTCGGTGAAATCACCCTGTCAGTATGAGCAGTCTCTGCCCACTTTCATAAAGATAGAGAGGCCCCCTGACTACCATCTTATACATCCACAAATGTGTGCTGGTCACATGCCAAAGAAGAGCGGTCAATTAAGGTTCCCATTCCACCTCTGACATTACATAACCAGAGTGCATCTCCTTTTGGCAGAGCATGGCAGCCAGCCTCTTTCCAATGCTTATCACACCCCACCTGTCAAAGGCCACTGTTGGTGATAAAATGGAGCCTGTTCTTCCTGCTCAGTCACTACATGGCTAATTTATCAGAGGGGGGGGGGCTTGCTGCTCTGTCGTCTGCTCGGGCTCATATAGTGGTGCAGACGTACGAGGTGCACAGGGCAGTAACAGTTTAATGGAAGTGTTGATACAAACCTGTTGCCCAGAGCTCTTCGTCTCTGCTCCTTTTGTGACCGTGTGAAAGAACAGTGTGGTCGCTTAAATATCAGAGGGGATGCATTATGTTATAATTAACAACATATACTCTCAATGCGATCTATGTTCTTTAGAAGTAAGCAAACATGAAGAAATTACTTTTTAAGATTTGTGTTTTTGTGTGAAAATTGCAAATAAATCACAAATCACATCACCTGACTCTATAAACTGGTCTGCTGATATCGCTGTTTTTGCATTTTGTAATAATTTATAATATTTATGAATCAATTTGATGAATCACATACTTAATGTCATTTATTGTATTAGCCATAAAGTCCCCATTCTTTTTATTCATGTTATCACTTAACAATGACTCCAAAAAACTGTACCCAGATCCAATATATATATTGATACATTTATATAAAATAACATACATGATGGACTTAATACAAATCGCTGAACCCTAGCTTTGGTTAAAAAAAGACTCTAAACGGCACATCAGACATAAAACATTTCTGAGCTGAAACATAAACAGGTTTATTCAACAGAGCAGCTTCAAATTGCAAATTAAAATTTCCCAATGGCCACATTATTTTGTTGAGCCAAAAATGCAAATATTACCACGAGACAGATGATTCAGGGCAGCAAAATCAGTTTGATCTAAATAGAGAAAAAGCAAACCAAATAGTCATTTGGCGAGCCATTCTTTATGCATAAAAGTCCAGACCAGGACTCAAATGTATGGTTGCATAGAGTGTCCTCTCATTTGCTGTTTGTTCAAATCTGATCTTTGGATCAATGAAACACCAAGAAATGATAAAACCTTGAGCTTATAGTTTAAATGTTGGGTGTATGGGTTGCATGAGTAGTAGAAGACTTTCTATTTTAAGAATAAAAAACTTTATTGAGTGTACGAGGACAAATTTAATCAAGATGAGAGGAGGAAGTGGTTTTCTGCTTGTAGAGGAAACGTTACTCTTATCTGTTTTTTAAAACTGTTTTCATTCCTCCACCAACAGGCTCATCAGTAAACAGAAGCGATGTCTCAGTCTGGAGAAAAAGGCAAGGTTAGTAACAGGCAGAAATGTCCACCCCCTTTACAGCTCTTACATGAGTACATTGAACACAGATTCACTGAACATGGGGGGGGGGGGGTCATTAAGATTCATGGCACTTTTAATCTCAAGTACACATGCTTACACAGGCATCCAGAGAGGATATCCTGTATAAATTCAAGTGTTTCATGGCTCGACTTTATTGCCTGTTGAATTAATAAGTGAAGCATCATCATCCATCTCACTCAATGCAATTAAACAACAAATTCCCTTTGATTTAACATTACTTAATGACGTCTTCAATATTTGACACTTTTTGAACATTATGTTTGTTTTTTTTGTGCTCTGCAGTTCCCAGATGCTACAGGTTATGTAGGGTTTGCCAACCTGCCAAACCAAGTGCACAGAAAATCAGTGAAAAAAGGGTTTGAATTCACACTAATGGTTGTTGGTGAGTGATCTTTTTCTCTATTAATGTAGATTTTAAGGTTTCTTTAGAGAGCAGAGCTTTATTTTTCACCTTCTTTGTTTTCAGGAGAGTCTGGTTTGGGGAAATCAACACTAATAAACAGCCTGTTCCTCACTGATCTGTACCCTGAACGCTACATCCCTGGTGCTGCAGGTAGACTCCCCAGCACACACACACACACACACACACACTCACACACGTGCATACACATACACTTAAATGCACACTGTAATAAAAGAGAAATGTCTGCAGCAATGTCTCCTGCAGAGTATTATTTAAAGAGGAATGTTGAGAATGCCTTAGTCTCAATATATGACCCTGCCTTTCTTTTGACTTGACTTGGATCAGGACTTGTTCTGGCTTGTTTTGCAGGCCCTCCCTGTGCAGATTGTGCAGAAAACAATTCTGTCAGAAAACATGTTTTTAGATGAAAAAACCCCCCCATGATTTAATTTTCAAAAGGCGTATCCACCTTCTTGAAACCCTGTGGTTTGTGGCTTGTATGTCATAGGAAGGAATTCTCCAAATTAATGTTTTGAATTTATTTTCTGAAGTGTTTTGTTCGTGACACTGCCCATCAATTATTCTTGTACTTCCCCTCCACAGAGAAGATTGAGAGGACGGTGCAGATTGAAGCATCGACCGTGGAGATCGAGGAGAGAGGAGTAAAGCTTCGCCTCACTGTGGTCGACACCCCTGGATACGGCGACGCCATCAACAGCCAGGACTGGTGTGTTAATGAGCCGTGCAGGAGCAGGGAGTGATAACAACATGGGACAAGTTTTCTGTCCAGCATGCTTTCTCATCCTTCCCTCCTGTCCTCGACAACTCCCTTTTTCAAAATCATCTCAACTCCCTATATCCTACCTCTCCTCCCTTTTCATTCCGTGTGTGTCTGCTTGCGTGTGTGTGTGTGTGTGTGTGTGTGTGTGTGTGTGTGTAGATGTGACATTCTGGTGTTAGTAGTGTCAAAGGAGCCTCCCTCTCCTGTTTGATGATCCTGACATTATTATATTTCTATACTCATAGACAAAAACTCTGTGATTCAAAGGCTAAAAAAAGGAATCAACCCAAAAAGAGATGAAAAGTAAGAACAGGACTACACAAACCGCTTTTTAGCTGGACAGAGTTAAGTTGTGATTTACTAAATTAAATGGGTTGTTTAGATTTTTGGCTGCTTAACAGACACAACCAACTTAGAGACATGATTCTGCCTACAATTTGATTTTTGTACTATAATGTGAGCCTGACAGATTCTCTGACTATGTTTTTTAAAAGTTTATCCAGTAGAGGGTAAAGGGTATCTCAGGTCATAGAGGAACACAAAACCTCTTCAACTGAAATACATGTAATTTAAAAAACTGGAGATACTGAATTTTTGACAGCAATAGTGATCTCCAGGCAGGTGATAAACACACTTCTTTGTCTTGAGGGAGTACAACATAGTGTTTCTTGACAGTGAAGAACCTCTCCTTGCCTTCAAAATGATGTGTACAAACTCCCCTCCTTGAAGCTAAAGTTATTTTTATTGTTAGTGGTTGAATTGATTGTTCATGGTGATTAAGTCTTTTGGCTGTTTCTCTGTCTGACTTCAGTTTCAAGACCATCATCCAGTACATCGACAATCAGTTTGAGCGTTACCTTCACGATGAAAGCGGACTGAACAGAAGGCACATTGTGGACAACAGGGTGCACTGCTGCTTCTACTTCATATCTCCCTTTGGACACGGGTAAACAAACAGTAACCTACACTGACACCAACAGCTAGCAATGGTTGATGTTACTCTACTAAGTGGTACTTTCAGTTTCTTGTAAAAAGTTTCCTTTCTGGTATTTTAATTATAAGGCCAAACTGTATCACCCACCAGCACACATTAATACAGACGATGTAGAACTTGATTTTATGTCTAAATTAAACATATAAGCTGCTAACAGGCGTTGCACCATAAATATTTCCTACTAGTAAGGCAAAAATAGTCGACTTTTGTCCCAATTGTACTTTCTGATCTGTATTTAAGTTATTGTACTATCCTTAACTGAGCACGTCTTCTCTGTCTCCAAGTACTCTTACGTTATTCAACATCACATCCAGTTTTATCATCTCCGATCTCTCTCGTGTCCCCCAGTTCATTTTTATTATTTGAAAAGACTGTCTTCTCCTCTGCGTCTGCTGTCTTTTTATACAGTGTCTTAATATTTTTATTGTCTTTTTTTGTGATCCCCTTCTTGTCTAGTCTTAAGCCTCTGGATGTGGAGTTTATGAAGGCCATCCACAGCAAAGTCAACATAGTCCCAGTCATCGCCAAGGCTGACACACTGACACTGAGAGAGAGGGATCGTCTGAAGAGAAGGGTGGGTTTGTGACTACACACACACACACACACACTTACACACACACTTACACACACACTTACACACACACACACACTTACACACACACACACACACACACACACACACACACACACACACACACCACATACACACACAGAAAAATTCAAACCTGTTAAGTGATAAAAATTGATATATAGTTAAATTTGCTTTATCTCTGGGTAGGTAAATAACAATCATTAATCTACCTGGTAATGAAGATTCATAATCTGATGACCTTTCAGCACTAGCTGTTTTTAATCCCTATAAAGCACTTTGAGATGCATTTGATTTGTAGGAAAGGAGCTATATAAACAAAGCATGATGATTTATTGATTAAAAATATGAGATCATCTTTCTGATTTACCCTCAGTCTATGAAAACACTGGAATGTGTAAGCAATTATTATAATGATAATGGGTACTGTTTTTGTTTTTGTCCAACCGATGGTATGGTTTAGCCAATGGGAAGTGGCTCGTTGAACAATTCATTGATTACATGAAAATCATATATCCTTATTGGCAGCTTTGTGTGTCTGGCATTTGCTCATAGCAGTGTGATAGCCCACGTGTACATCCCTTTATTTATGCAGTGTTGCACGTCGTACATTTTGTGTTTTTGATGATACAGCCAGATTGTACTTGGGTTCAGGGAGGGGCGACATAAGAGAGGAAACAGTAAAAGGTACAACAGTAGGAAAAGAGTGTTGAATATAATGAAGAGGTAGCACATTTCAGCCAGTTTCAAACTGTCCCAGATACTTCCTCTTGGAGGTGACCCAAATATCTGCTGGGCTGCACGCTCCTCCGCTTCCTGCTTTCCCGAGAAGGAGAGACGCAGTATTCCAATACCACCTGCATACAGCTCACTGCAACATGATCAGCTGATAACCTCTCATGAAAGATGAAACAGGAGTTTTGTTTGACCTTTTTGTTTCCTCAAAACGTTCCCCTTCTCTCTAATGCATCCATTTTCCTTAAAAAAACAAACAAAAAAAAAAAAAAACAGCTCTAAGTTAAACAATGAATTTGAAAACCTTCATGGCAACTCTGTGAAATTGCTCTACACTTTCTGCCAATGTTCTTTAGCTTTCATTTCTTTTTCAAAATGTTTTTGTAATTATTCATCAAACAATACTCGCATCAGTTTATTAACATTTGACCTTCTTTATACACTCACACACTTATGAAGGCACTTCAAAAGAATATGCACAATAATATTTCAAATACAACATAATGAATAAAATAAAAATAAATGTATATAATCAAAAACAGCACACATTCCATACTGCCTGATATTATCTACAGTGTATATGCATTTTCCATTTAGATTGTTATGCATGTTGTTTTTTTTGGAGAAGGACATTTATGATTATGGTACTTCTAATCGACAAACTCTTTCCATTTATCTTCAAATATAAATGTCAATCTCTCAAGCCTGTGACATGTCAACACTAACTCCCTTTTAGTGAGGGAGTGAGGGAGGTTCTACATGTTTTTGATATTATACAATCATTTTTCTGGCATGAAGAAGTCAGAAGTCCCATCACAAACTCCTGAAGGTAATTTCACGCACACATCATTTTGCCCTCAGTGGGCTGTACCTCTAATTATCTGCACAAAAATTTCACAACATTCTTCTAAAATATCTGTATCTTCCCATAAGCAAATACAAAAGGTTCATTTCACTTTCAAGCACACAACACAAATATCCAGTTCATGGGAGGCTTTGGCTTACAAAATGTAAATATTTGCTTTAAATCAGTATGAACAGAATGTCTTTGGCTTTTGGTTCATTAAATCACACCAAGGGATATTAAAATTTCTCTTTCGGCTCTGGGAACTTATTTTGTCCATCTACTGTTTTCTAGCACTTAAGAAGCAAAACATTAACCAGATTACCTCATTCTGTTTTTAATTGGAAGTCAGCCCCAGAGTCCCCCACCTGCCTGCACATGTCAAGACCTCCTGCCCGCCTCTCATTCAGGGCCCGGAGCCGGTGGTCTGGCAGGGTGTCAGGCTCTTCTTTGTAAAAAACAGTTGGATTGCTTAAAGTCGCTGATGCAGCATCTCAGAATGACAGGGCCATGTTTTTTTCCTCCAATACGATTTCGTAGTTGCTACATAAGGGTATTAAAAACATGTCTCAGCATCAAAGGTGAAATTCCCCCTCTTATGTTGTCCTTAAAAGACCTACCAGCTGAATTGTGCTCTGTACAGTTGTTTTGTATGGTGACCTTACTCAGACTTTCTGAGTGTTCCTCTGGCACTTAACAGGAACAAAACCATGTTTCCTGCCACCACTGACCCCCGCCCCAAACTACAGAAACCCCCCTGGCTTGGTGGCTTTCTGGTTCAGCTGGCAGCATGTAGAAGGCCAGCGGCTTTGATTAGAGTTTTAACAAAACTCCTTTTTTTTTTTTTTTTTAAACATTCTTATTGTTTTGCTTTACATTTAGTTCTTTGTTTGACATCTTTTACTGAACAAGTGGGCAAGGGGAAATTCTGTCACACTATCGCTTTGATCTGACCTCTCTGCTGCACTGAAACTATCTGTCCAAATGAGTTTGTTCACATGCTCTGTTAAGTCTTCCCTTAACAGACATTTCCCACTGTACACTCAGGAGCAATTAGCTGCTGGGTCAAAAAAAAAAAGGACTGACTCACACACACAAGCCCACACACAAAAGAACACACTATCATTGCCAAAAAATCATACATTTGCTGATTCTTATGATGAGGAACATGTTTATTTCTGAACTACATTCATACAAATTGTCTTTCACAACAACAACAAAAACTTTCCAATTTATTTTGACTTTCTGCACTAACCGCATCGTAATTGAGATAAATGGCATCTTGTGTCCCCAAAGAGGGCACATTATCTCTTGTTTGGTCACAGTTTGGGCATGCACAACTTTAATCTTCTCTTTTTCAAAATAGGTATGCTGCAGTTCTTCATGTATGCTTTGTAGTGACACTGGATTCAAATAGAAGTAGTAGAGCTGATTCTATTTAACAGGACGAGATATACTGTAAATTCTGTTTATGCAGTTAATTCATTTGGTTATGGTCTCGGCTTTAAGCAAGTTTCGTTTTACTTGGAGAAACCAGATTTTTTTTACTCTCTACAGTGCCTTTATAATCCTGATGTTCTTTTACTTGTGAAACAAATACCAGGACACAGGGCAACACATACAGCAGGACAATATTAAAAATGGCATCATCATACCTTTTAAGTCTCTAGCTGTTTTCAGACTCGCACTCGGTTTCCCTGTCGGATGGGAGGGACGGGAGTTTCAGGAGGCAAGACATCACTTCGGAGTCGGACACTATAATGACAGTGTTTTGCCTTTATATCAATGCCAAGTGTAACTGGATATGTTCACAGTGTGAACAATCAGGTGGAAAAGAAAATAGTGGCGATTAGTAAAAGTATATGAAGCAGATTTATGAAGTGAACAAGTTATTTATGAACGTCATAAGAGTTTTACTTTCTGTATTCCCACATCGACTCATCCCGACTTCATGTGGAATTTTTTCTAAGGGGCTGGCAGGGGAAATCTGCTTTGGATTTCCTACCTTTGGTGATCACAGTATCGCAGTGTTGTGGCTTCTTGTGTGCTTGTTAACGTAATCATTGTAACTGGTAAACGTCATAGGACTGCTCATTCATCTCTTTAAGTGTCTCTCAGGAGAACAAAGATATCTGGCTAGAGTATTTGTTGGTTCGATCAGATTAGCTGAAGTGGCTCTTAGGTATACGTGCCTGATCCTTACAGCCCTACAGTCCTGTACAGTGCAGGGGGGCACCAGGCCTTCCTTTGAGGTCATAGCACCAGCAGCCAGGAACCTGCCAGGAAGTTGAGCGCTCCAGGATGATTGATAACCCCCAGTGTGCCTCTCACTGAATTTATTAGTTTGTTTTTTGAAGACTACTTTCTCACCATTCTGAGCTGTTTGTATCTCATAAATGAGACCTTCCCTTTCTCTCTCAAGGCTCATACAGTATTTTCTCTCTCTATTAAGCGGAAACAGCTTGTACAAAACAATATAAGTTTCCTGCAATGTGTTAGGACTGTTCCACTGACGAGACACAACCTGGTGCCCTGTGCTTCTCAGGTTTACCGACAAAGTTAACAAACCTCCCACCGTTCAGCTTTTTCATCGTCTTAGTTCTGCTCTCCTGTCGCTCAGTCCTTCCTCTCTTGGCAGTGCCTCACTCAGCTGCCTTTTACTTTCTTCCTCTTCGTCTTTGTGTTCTTTTTTTTTTTTATTTGCTCTAATGCCAATTTCCTTCACCAGGGTCACTGTGGTTTCTAGCTCATAAGTTGCCCTGAGGAGGGTATATTGAGGGACTGATCCTCTCAGTCTGGGACCTTATAGTCATATCCTGTGCAGGGATTTTGGACTTAAACTTCTCTACTGGTTGTTTTCTGTTTGAACATAGATGACGGCACAGAGCTGGTTCAGACTGGAAATCTGATGGAAGCAAAAACAAGGAAAGATGCCTTCTGAGTGTTTTTTACGTTTGTTTCTCATCATTTAAAGAACAACAACTTAAATGTGTTAACATTGAGCCTCAATTTCTTTTGAGTTTTTTTTGTAGAAATAATGTTGAAGATAAGTTGCTTCTTCTCTGTTTTGGGGATTTGCGCCCTTGGCTTTAAGAAATTGTCAGACTGCCATTTTATCCTATTTTTTTAATTTGTATAGACAAAACAGAAACTCTACTTAAGGCTTGCCTCAGCTCTACCTCAGCCTCTTACTAGTTTAATTTTGATTCTAATATGGCATCCCAAATTGTTGGGCTTCATAACGCCTCTTCAGAAGCCAATGGGTGATATCACTGAGACTATGTCCATATCTTATACAGTATAATATGATTTAAACATATGCAACTGGTCTCTGATTAAGTCAGTGCACCATGAAAATCAACTTTTATAGATATTAAACCATCTAAGGTTTTAACATTCACTTCAT